GTTAGACCATTGAACACGCGTCCTCGAGAGGACGGAGCATTGTTCCAACAGGACCGATCATCGATGGCAAATTGTTCCTTCCTACTTTGCCAAAGGTGGCTCAAAACTGTCTTTCCTACAATAGTCTATCTATCCTATGGATGTCACTTCCCGCCTTTTCAACGCACTTCTTATGACCCAATACAGCTACCGTCTTCTCCTGGCTATTCCATGCCTCAAAGATCTCCCCGTATCTTCCTTCTACTTTTCCCAGCTCATTCATGTGCACTTCCCTCTCCTTCTACCACAGACATTCCGCAACAACATGAACCCGGTCATGGCACTCGGAACCGCAATCACATCTGAAGTTGTCGTCTTCATCGTCTACCTTGCTGAATCTTCGTCTACGTTCTCGGAGGTCAACGTCCCCGGTCCTGAGTTTGACCTTCAGTTTTGCCCCTTCATTCCATTGTTCCATATAGGTACTCCTTGAACCCTATTCCTTCTGTGAACATTCCGTGAACATCTAGACCTTCCTTATCCTTGGCTTATTTGGTTACATTCTGTTCTCTCTCGGCTAAAGCAACAGATATCTTCTCCTTGAACCCCTCTAGATCTTCCGTTTCCAGTGCATTACCTTCGTCAATTTCGAACTCTTTCCTACGTCATCTACAACCACTTCGTGGGTTGGGGGCGGGGTTNCAGGCTCTCACATCACCAAGCGCAAAGCGCCGTGAGATATTCGGCGAGTCGCATGAAGGGTGCGCTGCATCCTGCTAAGGGTGTTCGGCATCTTGTGCTTACTTCCTTGCGTACGGATGACAGCTGCGTATGACTTCATTTATTTTATGGTGCTTTCACTTCCGGAGACAGTTGTCAGCACTATTGTTTTTTTTGTTTGTTTATTTTTCTTCCATCATTGGATTTTGTCGTCTGCCCTTCTGGCCTCTATCCTCCACTTCTACCAGCTAGACGACCCAACCGGGGTCACATAGGTGGGGGGGGTTGGACCCCCTCCTGCGGTTCTGTGTAACTGCCTCGAGGGTGCTTGACCAACACAACGTGGTGCGATCATCCCCCTTGCGAGGAGTGAGGCTTCTCCACCCCGCACAACATGATCTACTCAACCACCATTATGGTTACCGCAAAAAAAAAAAAAACAGAGGTAAAAGAAAAAACGGAAAGCTGGTTGCAGAGTTCACGAAGTGAATTGGCTTGTTTTACAACGTCGTTGCCAAGCGACGAAAACCCAA